CATATGCAGGAGGGAGCACTCGGAAGTGATGGAGAAGGTGAAGTCTCCTTACTATGGCTACCCTGACTACTGGATATTTGCCCATCCAAAGTGTGTGCTCTCATGTTTCCATTGGAAGCCTGCTCAATGTTGGCAGAATGGTCAGGGGTACTTTTTTTTTCTTTACACAGTGGGGCCGTGTACCCCATCCTGAAGGCAAAAGGCCTCTGAACCAACAACTGGAGGACCAAGAGGAAGATGGAGAAAGGTTGGATCAGAGCTTAGAAAAAGAAATGAACTTGGCTTGGAAGGGGCATGTCCTGCACCGGACCCCTTAGGGTTTACACCAGAGCCCAACTGTGACACTGTGCCGCACATAAGCCCTGGCAGGAGGCTTGGACTCAGCAGGGCTGAAAGGATCCTGGACCCTGTCATTGAGATCATCCAGCCAGGCTCACTCTGTCCTTTGTCAGGGCCCAGGAGGCTCCGTATCGTTACCCCAGAGCATTCTGCTTTCCTCCGGCCTCATTACGCAGTACATTAGCTGTGGGAACGAAACCCATTACAAAAAAGAGGGGGTGGAATTGGCACACGGGGAAAGAGGCCTTCTCAGATCAAGCTAACAACTTGTGCCTATTAACTAAAGAAGATCATTAGAAAACTCCCATCTCCTCTCCCCCTGCCTCGCCCCCTCCCCCACCGCTTGCCATGTCAGATAGAGACCGAGTAAGGCTCACGGTGAACCGCCTGTTTCTTGCGCGCCCCACAGCCATTAAGGGGCCTGGCGCAGGGCTTTGTAGAACAGTAAGCTTGGGGTGGGGAGGACTTGCTTGGATGTTGGGCTGTCGTTTGTTTTTATCGTTACTTTAACTTATCTGTTTTGCAGTGTTGAGGCTGGAACCCAGGCCCTCACATAGCCAGCCAAGGGCTCTGTCGCTGGACTGCGCTACCAGCCCTTGAGTCCCATTTTAAATGAGCAAATGTCTCTCTTAAGGATAAGTCTTTGAAGATTAATGAAGACAGTGAGCAGAATGAAGTCAGTCCCACTTAGGATTGTCGTCTAGCTCAACATGACAAGATGAAGGAGCAAGATTATCTTCTGAGGTCCCACAGGATGAATTGTTTTTCTGAGATGAATTTGCTTAAGGCCACTTTTACAGATGGGGGCCAAGGCCCAGTGAGAACCAGTGCATCATGGTCATTATGAGAAGTGTGTCATCTTGTGATGCCAGGCCTGAGGACTTCCTCTTCCAGCAAGCTTTCTCTACTGTGTTAATTTTTCATTTTCTTTGAAAAAATATTTATTTTCTTTCTCTCTCTCTCTCTCTCTCTCTCTCTCTCTCTCTCTCTCTCTCTCTCTCTCTGTGTGTGTGTGTGTGTGTGTGTGTGTGTGTGTGTGTCAGGAGAGGGCATCAAATGGCCAGGAGCTGGAGTGACTGGCTGGTGATTGTGAACACCTGAATTCAGTCTTCGGAAAGAGCAGCAAGCGATTTTTTAATTGCTGGGCCATTCCTTCTTTTTCTTTCTTGGGTTTTCATGGGCTTTCTTATAGCCTGACTGCCTCCTTAGCTATGCTCCCCAGCCAGGGTTGGAGAATGTCTTCAAAGAACTCCAGTCAAGTCCCTCAGATGCTAAGCCACAGCTGAGTCCTGAGCATCGAGTAGGAGCTTTGCGTCTTGCCTTTCTCTTCTCTCCAGTGCAGGATGAAAACAAACACCTTGAGCCTTCTGCAAGGCTGGGACATGGCAGCGCATATCTGTAATCCAAGCCCTGAGGAAGTGGGTGCAGGAGGATCAGGAGCTGAAGGAGGATCAGCTCCGCAGGGAGGTTGAGGTCAGCCTCTGCTACGGGAGGCCCTGTTTAAAAATAAACAAACACATTCACAAAGATACAAACAAAACAAAAGAACTCTTGCATAAAATATGGGTCATAGCAAAGGACTGACTGAGCCCTTTTGGTGCCACTCCTTGCATTACTTAAAAATAAAGGACTCTTCTGCTGCATGTGTTGCCCCATGTCTGCCTGTGCACACCCATTTTCTTTTCCCCCAAGAGCACTTTTCACCCAGACAGTGATCGACTGGGCCAGTGCCTTTGTGTCTATGTATGTACTTCCTCCTCTGCATGTTTTGGAAAAGTGTCAAACTGCTCGACTGAAGAGGGAATCATGGAGGGGCTGTACCATGCATGCATGGCTCTGTCCCCAGCCTGTCAGGTCCCTGGAGTCAACTCACTGGGGGAATTTCAGGAGCTCAAGCATCCTTGTCCTGTGCAGCGGTGAGAACAGACTTCCCCGTTCCATCAGCGTGGTTTGCTGTGCTCTCTAACAAGGTCTGATTAGCATTCCCTTTTCAGGGACTCCTTCAACATCCCAGCTGCACTGATTGTGGGCAGCGATAAGGAATGGGGTACAGTGGTGACTCAGGAAGGCAGCTGACAGGGGGAGAGCCCAGGCAAAGAGGGGTAAAGGCGTTCTGAGAGCCTGGAGGGACTGCTCCAATTGAAGAGACTGGGCAAGACTGCTTGAGGAGACGCTTGGAGATTGTAGACACGGGAGCCAGACTTAAATGAACGGAGAAGGGAGAAAAGTGCCTCAGACTAAGGATACTGAGAAAGAGAAAACAAAAACAAACAAATAAACTCCCCCCAAAAAAAAACACTTAGAAAGATGGAAGAAACAAACAAACAAACAAACAAAACCCAGAACTGTCTTTTCCTAGAGCAAAGAATGGAACAGAGAAGACCAGAGTTTTAGAAAATGAAAAGGCAGAGAGACATTTCCTTTCCCTGGTCTTTGCTTTATTATTGATTCTTTCAATACCTTTATGTCCTCGTAGAAGGAAATGCAGTCACTTGGATTTGACTCCCAGAAGAGCTACAGGGGTGAATGACTTGGGCACTGCGGCTGAGGAGGCTCTGACCACCCTTGCTTTGAGACTAGCTCCACACGCCTCTCCACGTTCCCCCTCGGTCCTCAAGCACCATGTCCTTCTGCTCCCGATGCCATCGGTGGAATGCTGGCATAGTTGGCAAAGCTGTGCTGAGAAGGTCTAGGTGCTTTGTAGAGTAACGCACAGGAGGTAGTGTGAACACTCAACATGTTCATCACTCTTGGGGTCTCCCTCTAGAATCCCAGGACTGGGAATGTTCTTCATGATACTGTTGATGGAATACAGGACCTTCCACCATGCTCTCCCACTGAGCAATATCCCTAGTCTTTTGTTTTTGGAGATGGGATCTTTGTTTATTTGTTTGTGTGTTTGTTTGTTTGTTTGTTTTTTGAGAAAGGGTTTCACTCTTCCGACCAGGCTGGCCTCAAACTCAGAGATCTACCTGCCTCTGCCTCCTAAGTGCTGGGACTAAAGGCGTGCGCCACCACTGTCAGGCAGATCTTTCTATGTAACCCAGGCTGACCTGGAATCCCTGAATAGCCCCGGCTCATCTTGAACACACAGCAAATGGCCTCTCTTAGCCTCGTGAGCTAAGCCTAGCTCTTGAGTCCTGGAAGAGGACTGCATGGCAAACCCTGCTGGGACTGGTCCTTTTCCTAAGCCTGTATCTTGCCTACCTGTGATTGAGCTGGCTTGCTGGCTCGCACTTTCAAGGAGTATTGTCCCTGGTCAGTGGGAGGTACTGAGTCATCTACTTTTGGACTTCTCGGAGATAGAAAGGGACATCTATTTACTGAGAAGTGTCCATACCACTTTGGAGACGTGATGCCAGCAAAGAATGCCACTAGCAGTGAGGAGAGGAGTAATAAATTGTCAGGGACCACATTCCTTCTACCACCACAAGTCAAAGAAAATGAGGTAAATTTGTGGGGTCTAACAAAGTCCCAAGCCTTATCCATTTTAGGGTCAAGGTGATTCAGCACAGCCCTTTATTCTCAATAAGAGTTTAAGATCTAAAGTCCAGTGGATTTGTGTCCAGTAGAACTCCTAGCACCAAGGAACTAAGCAATTATAGAAGAAGTTGCTACTCTCTCAGTGTCTTTGATTTGAAAATGGGGCTCTATGATCAGCCACAGAGAACTGATGTGAGGTGCCTACCATGATGTAAGTTCAAAATACATCTAGAAAGATTATGCAGTGGACCAGCGGATGGGTAATCTGGTGTGGGTTCTGCAAGGGTCCCTGCTGCTTTCTAGATGTTCACCAGAACATATCACACCATCACCCATCAAGGCTTCACTCTGCTCCTCAGTCAGCCAAATGGGGAAAAATATCCACCTCATCACGTGGACTGAAGACACATGCACACTGGATTTGCCATGCAGTTCAGGCTGAGCTTAACTTGAGATGATCCTGTGCCTGCCTCCCCATTGCTAAAAGATGTGCCACCATTCCCTGCTGGTTACAGATCATCTGTGTGCAAACTATGGCACATATTCACAGAATGATACACAGCAATGATAATTTTATCCTTGTTTGCCCAGCTCCCATCTTATCTCTGACTTGAACTATAATAGCAGGTCACTTAATTTTCTAAGACCTCTATTTCCCCATCTATGAGAAAGGGATTAGAAGCTAGACATGGTGGTACACATCTATAATCATAGCACTTCGAAGGTGGAAAGGCAGGGGATCCATCAGTTCAATGCCAGCATCAGATACATAGCAAGTTCAAAGCCAGCCTGAGCTACCTGAGACTGTCTTAAAATTTAAAAAAAAAGTGTAGAACTAAACTTTTCATCCCATGATGATACAATCTTCCTATTTTTGTGATTCCCCCAAAACGCCTAATGGATAAATTGGAGTCTTAGAGATACCCCCATGAGCACCCCCACATACCCTTGGTTCTTCTTGTCCTTTTGCCTACCTCCTGGGAATCTCCAAACTTACTGTGCTTAAAAAAATGTAGAAACTCCTACCCCCAGTGTGGAAGACATCTCTCTAAGTTGACAGGCCACAGAACAGTGAAACAGGACAGATATGATTTCCAAGAAGAGTTTGAGGAGCTGGCGAGATGAGGACCAGAGTTTGGATCCCCAGAAACCCAGGTAAAATGCTGGGTGAGACCTCACCTCTGAGATCTGGAGCGCTGGTGCTGGCGGAGCCGTCCCCATGCCTCTGGCTAGAAATCTATTACACCCTTCCTTGGAAGAGGAAAAGAAAAAACCTAAGAAGAAACGGCTGGTTCAGAGCCCAGGTTCTTACTTCAGGGATGTGAAATGTCCAGGTTGCTACAAGATTACTACAGTTTTCAGCCACGCGCAGACAGTGGTTCTCTGCGTAGGTTGTTCAACAGTGTTGTGCCAGCCCACAGGAGGAAAAGCCAGGCTCACAGAAGGCTGTTCATTCAGAAGAAAGCAACACTAATCATCTATACAAGTTCCTGAGTTTGTGTTTTTCACAGAAAGCCTTATCAAGTTCAGTGACTCTACCAAGACAATGTAACTGTGTTTGATTTTATAAAGTATACAACAGTGATCTCCTATTTTGGTGTCAGTTTTTCAATAAAGTTTTAATTATGGAAAAAAAAATGCTGGGTGAGCATAGCAACCGACTGTAATTGCACCCTCAGAAGGCAGAGGACCCGCAGAGCAATCTGGCTAGTGAGATTAGCCATATCAGGGAACTCTGGGTTTGATTGAGAGACCCTGTTTCACTAAGCAAGGTAGAAGAGTGATGGAGGATGATTCTTGATACCATTCTAAGGTCTACACACACAAACACACACACACACACACACACCACATGCACTCATGTGCGTGAAAAATGGGAAAGGAACAAAAAGAAGACATTGGCATGCAAATCAGAGTCCAATTTGCCCAAATTAACATGGTTATTATATAGATTCGGGGTCAAGAGCGTGGATTCTGAGCCTGCTGAGAGCTTCGTGTTCAAGATTTGCCATTCAAATGTTTTAACTTTAGACAAAATCTTCACCATGGCTCCATCTTGATTTCCCATTACATGTTGTCCTGTTGGCTTTCTGTTTCTGTGATAAAGATCATGACCAAAGGCAACCTTGGGAAGAAATGGTTTATTTCAGCTTACAGTTGTAGTCCATCATGGAAGGAAGTCAGGGCAGGAACCTGGAGGCAGGAACTGAAGCAGAGCCATTGAGAAGCGCTTGTTTCTCCTGGCTTGTTCACCTTGCTTTTTTATACACCCCCCCCCCCACAAGCACCATATCAATCACCAATCAAGAAAATGCCCCACAGGCTTACCCACAGGCCAATCTGATGGGGGCATTTTCTCAGTTGAGGTTTCTTCTTCCCAGATGACTCTAGCTTGTGTCAAGTTGACCAAAACAAGATAGGCTTGATTTGAAGATGTTAAGACTGGAAGAGTCCTGGTGGAGATAGAATGGGACAGTCCATGCAAAGCGTTCAGCACAGTGACTGGTGCCTCGTCAGCCCTCACACTATCAGCCACTGCTACGATTAATATTTATGTTACTATCACCATGAGAAGGCCTCACGGAAGAAATATGTATAGGGCCAGATTTAGGGGTTGGGGATACAGAGCAGTAGTAGAATCTGACATATGTGAGACCCTAGATTCAATCCCCGTCACTGACAAATAAAAATGCAGATTTTAGAGCATGGAGAATAGAATTTGGGAGTAGAAATGGGAGTCTAGGAAATAGTAAACACAGAGACTCTGCCAAGGTATCCAGCATCTTCATATTTTCAATGTTTTCCATGTGGTTTTTATCATGCAACTAGGATTCATAAGAGAACAAGTAAGATTTTCTAGGTATGGACCATAAAACAAGGAAGTGAGATTCCTGGATTCTGGCACTTTCTGTGGCCCTAACTAGCAACCTACCTTGGCGATTGGTTCAGGCATTGGATGTTATCTCCCTCGGAGTTCCATCAGTCTCTTTCCAGCTGTGATGGGCTAGGGGACCTTCCACAGCTGTTCTTGGCTCGGTAAGAGTTCATACTTAGGCATCATCACTCCCCCTCCTGTTTCATCTTGTCTCTGGGATGATTGCTGTAAGCCCACAATGTCTTGAGAGAGCCCATTTTGATTCCCACACACACCACTTCCACTGTGCAGATTGTACTAGCTCCCTCTGCACCCTTACCTGGCTTCCTCTGCCTCTTCCATGCAAAGAAGCTGAACTGAAATGCAATGTGCATGGTCTCGGGTGGCTATCCACAGTCTGGTTCTCTGGGCTAATGGGAACCTTATAACTATGCAACTTGAACCTCTTGACAACAACAATAATACTAATAATCACCAACTGGAACATTTGGGACATGCAAGTACCATATGGAGAATTTCAAATGCACAGTCTGGTTTAATAGTCACAGTAGTATCATGACCTCAGCAGAATGATCCCATCTTATACACACAGAATCCCAAGACTGATGAGATTAAATATCTTGCTCCAGATCACACAGTTGGTTCGTGAAGGCAGGGCCTTCCATGCCCACCAGGCCCCAGCACTAAGGTCATCATACTCTTTGCTGTCTTACTTTCCACAGGCCACAGATCACAGACAGGATTTTGTGCTGTTGTGTGATCACACAAGAGTATAACCTAAGACATTGCATTTGTTACGTCAGGTTTCAGGGATCCCTACAAGATTTTTACCCTCTCTCCTGATCTTAGAAGCCCTCCTCAGACTCAGCTTTCCCTCCCAATCCTGTCACTCTGAGCCTCTGCTCTAGAAAGGCAGCCTACAATGGACACTGCGTTGCTGGATCGAAGGCCCAGCGCATGGTCAATGCTGAACTAATCCGGTAGTCAGTGGCTGTGTGTCTGCATTGAGCACTGGAAATATGGCCATTTCAATGTATCATATTTCAATGTATAATTTAAATATACTCTGAATATAATAAAAAAAAAAATAAAACACCAGACTTCAAAGAAGGGAATTACATGGGTAAAAAGCAACGCCAAATGTCATGTTGGTTACTTTTATATCACTTACATGTTAAAATGACCATGTTTAAGAAGTACTGGGAGGGACTGGAGAGATGGCTCAAAGGTTAAGAGCACTGGCTATTCTTGCAGGGGTCCTGAGTTCAATTCCCAGCAACCACATGGTGGCTCACAACTATCTGTAATGAGATCTGACACCCTCTTCTGGCATGCAGGCAGAACACTGTATACATAATAAATAAATCTTAAAAAAGAAAAAGAAAAAAGAAATACTGGAGCAAGTAAAATATCATTACAATCTATTTCACCTCTTTCTTATTTTTCATCTCCAGTGTGTTAGAATATTTAAGATTATAGATATCTCTAGTGTTTTTTAACTCTATTTCTGTCAGACAGTACTGGAATGAAGTCGCCTGGGTCTTAATCCTAGCTCTGACATATACTACCAGGATGACCTTGATTGAGCACGTTCATTCATCCTGATGTCCTCAGTTTCTACATGTGTATAATGAGGACAATAGTGATGAGACCTGTTTAAAAGGTTGTTGAATCTATTGACTTGTCTCCTTGGTCTGTTACATGTTCCTCACCAAGGCCAGGTTCTTCCTTCCTTCCCCTCCCTTTCTAAATTAGTTACTTTTCTGTAGCTGTATAAAATATCATGATCAGAGCAACTCATAGAGGAAAGAGTCTATTTTGGCTCATGGTTCCAGAGGGGGAAGGGTTCATTGCAGCGAGAGGGAACGGTGGCAGGAGAAGCTGAGAGATCACATCTCAGTCATCAGAACGGAGAAGAGAGAGTGAACAGGAAGTAGGGCGGGGTGATACAATCTCAAAGTCCACCCCCAGTGTTGCACGTCCTTCCGCAAGGCTCTGTCTCCCAATGGTTCCACAATCTCTCCCAAGCAGTGCCGCTAACTGGGGACCAAGTGTTCAGATATCATAGCCTTTTCCAAACCACCCCTTCCTTTTGCATTCTTTCCTTTCTCTTCTTTTTTTGGTGCTAAGGATTGAACTCTCGCACATGCTAGGCAAGCACTCTGCCATTGAGCTATGTCCCCAGCCCCTAACTTCATCTATTGCCCACTATGCTGTTTTTCTCTGGGCTCTGTGTCCTCTAGCTTAGCATGGCTCATTGGCCATGTCTCGTACATTGGCATTAACTTCCTTACCCTATGAGTCATCATTTCAGTGTGAATACCTAAGTGGAGTTCAGTACTCGCTGAGATTGGGATCCATGATTATTTTCCCTTGTGTTTCCTTCCCCGTGAAGTCCTCCATAGATCTAATACATTGAAATGTGGCTTTGTGTAAATAAAATGCTTGTTAATTTGCTGACCAATTAATGTGGCCCCTCGTCTCCATGCCAGAGATCTCCTACATTCTTCTAGACTCCTTAACAGGGAACAGCCATGATCAGATGCCCTTTTCTGACCTCCTTGGGCACCAGGCATGCACATGGTACACACACTTACATGCAGGCACACACTTACATGCATTAAATGTATCTATGAGGAAGGGTTGTGTTTTGACTGGTTATTCTCTAGTTACCATCTTTCCTTGTTTTTTGTCATCATAGAACAACCCATCTCTAATTTTAATCCTATATAGCTCTGCCACCTCAAATGCTTTCAGAATGAGGGATGGCTTTTCTTCCCCGCTTCCCCCCAACACACAAATGTTGAAATCATCTGTAATTTCAGGGTCTTAAAGAAGTGATCCAAGTTCATTGAATTCTAGTAGCAATGAAGGGAAGTGGAGGTAGCTCCTTTAATTAAGAAGACCTCTCGGCTGAAGATGTGGTTCAGATTCGCTGGTGGAGGACTGCTGCTCATTGCTTCAGCCACTCTATGGGATGGCCATGTCTGTGCTGTGCAAAGGAGCAGAGAAGGGCTGGTCCACATCCTTGGGAGGCCCATACTCCATCTGCCAATCATCTACGGTCTGTTATTACCGTCCTTGGCAACTCACCCAACAGGGAAGCCTTCACAAGCTTTAGATTTCACTCAGCATTCAGGGAACACATATTCTGGGAAAATAAACTCCAACCACACACCTTTGAGGGTTTTCTTTCATTTTGGGTGCTGGCAATTAGACCTGAGGCCATGCACATGTTAAGTACACACACCATCATTGAGCTGCATTCCAAACACCTAGGAATTTGGTTTTAATTTTCTTTGATAACCTGAAGTTGGTTTTGTATGTCCAGAGAAATAGTTGGGGAGGCAAATTCTAAGGACACATGCAATTAAAATAGTCTAATAAATACTAAAAATAAAAATTAATAAAGAAGTGAAATAATTTTAAAGTTTTAATTATTTTAAAAAATATGTGTCCATGTGTGGGTATGTGCACTTGAATGCAGCTGCTTGTGGAGGCCAAGAGAGGGCACTAGATTCTCTGGAGCTGTAGTTACAGGCAGTTGTGAGCCATCTGCCATTGCTAGGAACTGAACTTGGGTCCTCTGTAAGAACATGCTCTTAACCACTCTGACCCCACGAAACTGATTTTAATGATTTTTTTTAATGTGCCTAAGACATGCCAGGCTGTGTTAGAACTCACTATTTAGCCTCAGCAGGCCTTGAACTTGAAATC